GTAAGTCAGTGTTACCAGATCACGGTAAGTGTTACCAGATCACGGTAAGTCAGTGTTACCAGATCACGGTAAGTCAGTGTTACCAGATCACGGTAAGTTGTTGTTCAGATCACGGTAAGTCGTGTTACCAGATCACGGTAAGTCAGTGTTACCAGATCACGGTAAGTCAGGTTACCAGATCACGGTAAGTCAGTGTTACCAGATCACGGTAAATGCGTTACCAGATCACGGTAAGTCAGTGTTACCAGATCACAAGTCAGTTACCAGATCACGGTAAGTCAGTGTTACCGATCGATGCGATCAGTACCAGATCACGGTAAGTCAGTGTTACCAGATCACGGTAAGTCAGTGTTACCAGATCACGGTAAGTCAGTGTTACCAGATCACGGTAAGTTCAGTGTTACCAGATCACGGTAAGTCAGTGTTACCAGATCACGGTAAGTCAGTGTTACCAGATCACGGTAAGTCAGTGTTACCAGATCACGGTAAGTCAGTGTTACCAGATCACGGTAAGTCAGTGTTACCAGATCGTAAGTCAGTTTTACCAGATCGGTAAGTCAGTGTTACCAGATCACGGTAAGTCAGTGTTACCAGATCACGGTAAGTCAGTGTTACCAGATCAGGTAAGTCAGTGTTACAGATCACGGTAAGTCAGTGTTACCAGATCATTAGTCAGTGTTACCAGATCACGGTAGTCAGTGTTACCGAATCACGTGAGTGTGTTTTAGATCACGGTAAGTCAGTGTTACCAGATCACGGTAAGTCAGGGTTACCAGATCACGGTAAGTCAGTGTTACCAGATCACGGTAAGTCAGTGTTACAGATACAGTAAGTCAGGTTACCAGATCACGGTAAGTCAGTGTTACCAGATCACGGTAATCAGGGTTACCAGATCACGGTAAGTCAGAGGTTACCAGATCACGGTAAGTCAGTGTTACCAGATCACGGTAAGTCAGGTTACAGATCCAGGTGTTGAATCACGGTAAGTCAGTACCAGATCACGGTAATCATGTTCCAGATCACGGTAAGTCAGGGTTACCAGATCACGGTAAGTCAGTGTTACCAGATCACGGTAAGTCAGTGTTACCAGATCACGGTAAGTCAGTGTTACCAGATCACGGTAAGTCAGTGTTACCAGATCACGGTAAGTCAGTGTTACCAGATCACGGTAAGTCAGTTTACCAGATCACGGTAAGTCAGTGTTACCAGATCACGGTAAGTCAGTGTTACCGATCACGGTAAGTTCAGTGTTACAGATCACGTTAAGTCAGTGTTTCCAATCACGGTAATCAGGTTACCAGATCACGGTAAGTCAGTGTTACCAGATCACGGTAAGTCCAACCACAATACAACACGACTTAAAATATCGTACACACTCACACACACACACACACACACACACACACACACACACTGTATCATAATACCATACCATTTTAATTATACTTTCCTTTGGACTACTTTACTTTAACTCTCCCTCGCAAAACTTTTCAAATTATATAAACTTTGATTAGTGATCCTCTATATAATGTTTGTTCTAATTTAATTCTCTCAAATTCTGGTGTATTTTTTGTTTTTTACGATTTGTTACGATTTTTTTTACGATTTTTTTTAATACAAAATAAATCGTGTTTGAGGAAGTACTGTAAATTGGTTAAGTTTTTATACATACATACATACATACATACATACATACATACATACATACATACACGGCCTGGGTACCTAAGGTCATATTTAAACTATAAACTTGGGCTTCATTAACCAGATGGCGTTGTGTGGTAACTCATTCGTGACGTCATGCGAGGTTCTAGGTCAGATCAGGTCAGAGGTCAAGTTACTAGTCTTTGTCCTTTTGGTTACTTGTATAGGACAGGTTAGGTGTTGTTATTAATGAGTACAGTACGTGTTTTCAGTCCAAGTATGACTTAAACCCTTGAGTATGATGACTTAACCCCTTGAGTATGATGACTTAGTCCCTTGAGTATGATGACTTAACCCCTTGAGTATGATGACTTAGCCCCTTGAGTATGATGATTTAACCCCTTGGGTATGATGACTTAACCCTTCGAATATAATCTTGTAAAGACCTTGGCTGAGCAATACCTTGGTTATCTCATTACGTGTTAACTACCCTGGAGAGCCAATCAGCTGCGCGGAAAATGAGTTGTTAAGATCTCGCTCCTTATTGGCGGAATGAAGATACTTGGAGCGTAATAAGTTGCTTTTATTGGTCATTTAGGGGTGAGGGAGAGTGAGAGGGTGGGAGGGAGTGAGAGGGAGGGAGAGTGGGAGGGAGGTAAAGGAGAATGGGTAGAGGAGTGTGGTGAGAGGGAAAGTGAGTGCGTGGGAGGGAGGGAGAGTGTGTGTGAGAGTGAGAGAGAGAGAGAGAGAGTCTCTTGGTTCACTGCCACTTACGAGACAAAGAGACGGGAGAAAGATGTCTCAAAATATCTCCCCTGATCATGAGAGACAGGGAGAGATGTTTGAAACTGTCTCATTTGTGAGTGTGAGGGGTAAAGGAGACGTCTCACAATATCTCTTAAAGCCGCGAGACAGGAGACATCTCTCAAAACGTCTCGTGCGGGAAATTGAGACAGCTCTCAGTCGGCTTACTGCGGCCGAGATCTGTAGTGAGTCTTATCCCGACAGATTACAGCACCGACAGGAAGTTTCTGTCGGGTGGGGAGGTTTCTTTGTTGAGTGGGGAGGTTATCTGTTTGATGGGGAGGTTTCTGTCGGGTGGGAGGTTTCTTTGTTGGGTGGTGAGGTTATCTGTCGGGTGGGAGGTTATCTGTCAGGTGGGGAGGTTATCTGTTTGATGGGGAGGTTATCTGGCGGGTGGGGAGGTTATCTGTCGGGTGGGGAAAACACCAACACCACCACTACTCCACCACCTCCACCACCACCTCCACCACCACACTACCCACCACCACCACCTCCAACACCTCCACCACCACCACTTCCTCCACCACCTCCACCACCACTACCTCCACCACCACCTCCCACCACCACCTCCACCACCCACCTCCACCACCTCCACCTCCACCACCTCCACCACTACCTCCCACCACCACTACCTCCACCACCACCACTACCTCCACCACCACCACCACTACCCACCCACCACCTCCTCCACCCACCTCCCCACCTCCACCACCACCTACCTCCCACCACCACTACCTCCTCCCACCACCACCACCTCCACCACCTCCACCACCACCACCTCCCACCACCACCACACCACCTCCCACCCACCACCCACCTCCCCACCTCCCACCTCCCCACCTCCCCTCCCAACCTTGAGAACAAAAGTCATCGTAACTTTAAGACTCATGTTTTTCTCAGTTAGTGTGTAAGTGTGTGTGACCTGTCCCTGGGAGAGGGAGAGAGAGGAGAGGGAGAGAGGGGGCGAGGGAGGAATGAGGGGGTAGAGAGAGGTAGGGAGGGATGTTGTGGGGGTGAGGAAACGGAGGAAGAGGAGAGAAAGGGAAGGAGAGGTAGAGAGAGAGAGAGAGAGTGTAGAGAGGAGGGAATGAGAGTAGAGAGGAGGGGGAAAGTGAGGGTGAAGCGAGGAGGAAGGAAAGGGAAAGAAGCAAGAAAGAAAGAGGGGAAAAGAGTGAAGAAAGAAGAGATGGATAAAGGAGAAAGGGAGAGAAGTAAATAACAAGAGAAAAATAAGATGAAAACAGACCCGACCCCACCTTCCCCCCACCTTCCCCCTCTCCCCCCCACCTCCCCCACCTCCACTTCCTCCCCCACCTTCCTCCCCCACACAGACCGACAGACACAGACAGACACATGGACACACTCATAATACAGACATAGACAGACAAACACACATACAAACACACACACAGAAAAACACACACAGTAGACACAGAGGCAGACACACACACAGACACACACACACACACAGACACACACACACACACACACAGACAGACAGATAGACACACACACACACACACACACACACACACACACACACACACACACACACACAGACAGACAGAGACACACATACACAGACAGAGACACACACACACAGACAGACAGACAGACAGACACACACACACACACACACACACACACACACACACACACAGACAGACAGAGACACACACACACAGACAAGACAGACACACACACACACACACACACACACACACACACACACACACACACAGACAGACAGACACACACACAGACACACACACACACAGACAAGACAGTTAAACAAATTTACAGCCGCCATAAAAGTTCCTCCGTAAACACTTTCCGCCTCAACTTCATTCTTTTATTTTTCTTAACTTTTTTTTATATATTTTTTTATTATTTTTAATTTTTAAATTTTTACTTCCATTTTTTATATTTTTTTATTCATTTATTTCTGAACTTTTACTTTTTACTTTTTTCATGGTATAACTCTTACATTGTCTTCTTTACTGAGCCTTTGTTTCATTTATCTAACATGACTACACACACACACACACACACACACACACACACACACACACACACACACACACACACACACACACACACACACACACACACACACACACACACACACACACACACACACACACACAGACACACACACACACACACACACACACACACACACACACACACACACACACACACACACACTAGACGAACCCCAAGTTCAGAGACCCTATTTATCAAACACTTTAACCCAGTTTGGGTTAAAGTTTGAGTTGGGATTGGGTGGAGTAGATTAGAGGTTAGGTTAGGTGAGGAGAATGAGTTAATATGAGATGTGTATACAGTATATGGACGGTGTTATTTTCCTCATCTCTGGGTAGGTAAGGTGAGGCGAGGGATGGAGGGAGATGAGGTGAGGTGAGGTGAGGTGAGGCGAGGGAGAGACTATGTAAGCTTGTGTGGTGGTGGTCTGGAAGGGAGGGGTGGGGGTGGAGGTGGAGGAGGAGGTGGAGGGGAAGTGGGAGGGGTGGTGGGAAGTGGGGTGGTGG